AGACATAATCCTTTGACACCCGTGTCAAACTTTGAAATTTGACACCAAATTCTAACTATTGATTTTCACCAATCAAAGATTATCATTTATTGAGAATCAAACTTATTAATTAATTATTAATTCCTAATAAATAATAATCGTTGATTGACGGAAATCAACGGTTATGATTTGGTGTCAAATTTCAAAGATTGACATCGATATTAAGGGAACCTATCTTATATATATATATATATATTTATATATATTTATATATATTTATATATATTTATATATATATATATATACACACACACACACACTTAAGTTTTATTTCTTTCTTTTTTCAATCTCTTCGTATCCTTCATTTTAGTTCATCCACCATCGACACTAATTAGTTGGGATGAATGTGTTGTTGATGTTGTTAGGAAATTATTCGAAACTGATTCAGAAGTAATTATATTTCAAAATTTGTTTATATTTCAAAACCAGTTCAGAACGGATATGCAAGTCTGTTCTGAACTAGTTTTGAATTGATTTCCTAACCGTTTTTAATCAATTCGTCTGGTTCAGTTTAATTTTAAAACTGTTTTATAAAATTAAATCAATTTTCAAAACTAGTTCAAAAGATACAATTTCATTCAATTTAGTTTATTTCAATTCATCGACGGACCTACACTTGTGCCATTGTCTGCAAGTGCATATACAAATTTTTTTTTGGGAGGAAGAGTTCAAATAATGGTACGAAAGTGTAAAGAAGTGTGGATATATATAAAGAATAAGTATTAAATGTTAGCTTATGATTATATCCGCCGAACTCTCAAATCCAAATAAAATTGCTTGAAGAATGAGTATTCCAGTGCCCTAGTCAAATCTTGATATACTTATCATTTCCCTTTGTCTTTGCACTAGGCCTCATCCCATGATCTTGATAGATCCTTTGGCTTCCCTACAACACTCCTACATACTCTGTACAAGTCATTTGATGAGATTTTGGTCACACTGTAACTTAATTATTTATATTTGACTCTTGATTATTATTATTTTATGTTAAGCTGAAGTTTTTTTTTGTTTATATATATATTTTTAAATAATTTTTATTTTTATTTTATTTTTTTCACTAAATAATGAAATTACGTTGCTATTTCCACATAGTACGGGTAACGTAGGAGACTGCAAACATAAATAAATTTTTTTGAGTTCGCCACTGGTTCAGATCAATTCAGTTAAATTATTTTACACATCCTAAAAATCCTTTCATTTGAATTATTGTACGTCTTGAAAGCATTATTTAAATTTGATTTTAATATCTCTCATATTATAGCAGATGAAATTATTTCTTATACACACATAACAGTGTGTGAGGGCCATATTCACATGACCCTATATAAGTCTTATATACTTTTATGTATGTGTAGCAGATAATTTTATTTCCTATAACATCAAAATATAAAACCCTTTAATTTTTTGTGACCTTGGTGGTTTCTGATTTCTTGGTTTTTCTAGCTACTGACATGTGAATGTTTTTTCTTCCGAGCCACCGCCACTTCATCATCTTAATTGCTTGGTTTTGATTCAGCATGTCCTTCATCTTTCAACTAGCGCCACTTAATCGATTTGCTGCGAAGTTTTCAATTTGCAAGAATTTTAATTGAATAATTTTTTACATCTACTTTTTTATCAAAATTAAATTAATAATTATAAAAATAACATCAAAAGAGAAAGGTTAATTTAATTTTAATTTGAAAACAAAAAATAATTACTATAGGTGGGGGTTAAAAATAAGTTATAACCTTATAACATTTGTCTGTTTAACAAGGTATGACATCGATCTATCCTATATTTTCTATAAAGGTTTGTTTTCCAATTTTACTATGGTTTCTTATTTACGTGATTTTTCATTTGGATTATCGTTTCTCTTGTTGTAGAAGATATTTTATTTTGTATACATATATAAATATAACACCCATATACTTTTTTATATATTTAAGATAATTTTATTTTTTATAATATGGAAAACACTAATTCATTTTTTATTTGAAATATATGTTTAAATAGCATGTTTACGTTAGTAAAATAATTTGTTAATACTATTTTAGATGTTAGTATTTTTCAATATTTTTTAATGCTTCACTTAGTGTGGAGTTAAGGATTCAACAAATCAATTTTTGGTCATTGCCAACAAAGATCAACATAAATAGCTAAGGGTTTGACTCATATTTTTTAAAGGTGTGAGTTTGAACTTCAGGCACTTTATTGGGAACGGTGGTCAAAGTGTCACTGTTGGAAAAAAAACACATCAAAATGTCATGCCAACAGTAAATTTTGTTAAAATATCACGTGGCATATTTTGTTACACTGTGTAGTGAAATATGTGTGCAAATAATTCGCTACACGGTGTAGCAAAATATGCCGCGTCAGAATGTACAAAACCAAAAATGTCACGTGTCAGACAGGGAGAATTTCGCTACACTGTGTAGCGAAATCCTCCCTGTTTAACACGTGGCATTTTTGGTTCTGACGTGGGATATTTCGCTACACTGTGTAGCGAAATATTTGCACACGTATTTCAACGTGATATTTTGACAAAATTTATTGTTGGCGTGATATTTTGATATTCTTTTTGCCAATAGTGGCACTTTGGCCATTGTCCCCACTTTATTGATTGATGATATATAATTTTTTTGAAAAATTCTCAAAGAGATTGAGTGGTCATCTATTATTCTAATGAGATATCAGTGTTTAATCTCACTTAAATTTTATTAACCAAAAATAAATAAATATTCTGGCCATTAAGAAAATCTCGCCACCTGATAACTTTCCGTCGAATCTTTATCTTTTAAAAAAATGTTTTAAAATTCCGTAGCATAATCATAGGGTAGAGCTAAAGCTCTCAAAAGGGATAAAGACATCAGAAGAAAATATCTTGCATACAAACTTAGTTTAGATTGAAATAAAAAAAAAAATCGCACGATAAAATATATGAAATTATCATATTATCATTAAGACAAAAATTATTTCATTCTTTAAGAAGTAAGTTGAATATATAAAAGTTAATAAATAATCAACCATTTCATCTTATATCTTCTAAATAAAAAAATAAAAAAAGGAACTGAGATCTGATGGAATTTACAATTTTGCACGATTTCACCGTATTTTAAACAATTTAAACATTTGACAATTAATGTCATTTTGTTTCATTCTTATTTACTTTATTTATTTTTATTAATCTCAACATAGTCCTAATGCATTACACTCTACATTTCAAAATAATTGTCATTGAATTTTTTTTACTAATTTTCAAATATTGATTGTTCTCTTAAAAACCAAGAAGATGTTGAATATTGATTTTTTTTTTTGGTGAACAAATATTAATTTTATTATCTCTTTGTATTTAGCGTAAAATAATAATGTAATAAAATATAGTCATATATTTTTTAAAATTGAAAGTATTTGATACCTTTCATAATTTTTATACAAAATCTCTTAAACAGATATGATTCTTTATTATGGTATATGAGTCTTTATGACCATACGGTCCCGAATTTTATTTTCTCCGCTCCCATTTTTTCAGTGAATTTTTTTTTTTTGGAATTTTTTTTTTTCAGTGAAATTAAGTGAACACAAGGAATCATATGAAAATATCTTAAATCGTAATTATTTAAAAACACAAAAGATAATATGATTTTAATATAACGAATCAAAATAGAAAATAAAACCCTCAGAACCAGGCCTGCAAACAAAATTTTAAGTAATCTCGAGAGTAAGAAATATTTTTATATCATTAAATATATATATAGAGGATAAGGAACATTTTACATCGGTGTAAGACTAATAAATCTTATGTCATTTCTCAATCGTTGATTTTTATGCATCCGACGATTATAATTTAAGAAGTTATACAAATTAATTAATATTATTTAATCATTAATAAAATTAAAAATACTAATCATTAATTTTCGCCCATTAACGATTGAGATATGTATATAAAAAGAATTGATCCATTATATATTTCACGGTAAATATTATATAGGAAATAATTGTCTCATGTTGCATGAGATAATTATCTCATGCAATAGAGACAAAAATAGTTAGATTCATTATTTTATTTTTTTAAAAGTAGTGGAACCTACAATCTTATCTCTGTTGCATGAGATAATTTGCATGAGATAATTATCTCATGCAACGTAAGATTAATAAATTTCATATATTATATTAAGAATGTAGTTAAAACAAATTTCTTAATCCTTGAAGAACATAAAGAATTTCTCAACATAGCGCGTCAGAAGACTAAAAGCCAAATCACTACCCGTGGATTCCAAAGGAACTATAAAATTTAGTTTATTTCGATTTTCATAGAAAGCAAACAATGTTAAACACACACGTTTTTATGATACGATTATATCTTAATTTACTTTATATTCTTCACAGTTCACACTTATAATTTAGGTGTAAAAAACGTAAAAATATAAGGGCAGTGTAATTAATACTTTTTTAGAAAAACATGGGTACGTTACTTCTTTTAATATTTATTTATGGTATTTAATAATTCCCAAATAAGTAATCAAACAAATAATTTTAAATCTGAAAGATCATGGAAGCCCACTAACAAATTTTTAGTGTATCACATCACATGTATCTAATGGAAAAAAATTCATTACTTTTGAAAATTACTTTTCCCCTCATATTGAATTTTTTTTTCTTTTTAATAAAAAATATACCCAATTGAATTTATCTCATACATTTAAGATTTGTTCATAAGCTCACATGTGACATGACGAGTGGGCTAGTGGGTTGTACCTCGTAAAACAATTACCACGTGTACGGTCCCGATGACGTTGGAATAAATAAATAGCCAGCGCAACAACCACCATAATCGTATATCCGGTGTACGCATACGCCAGCTCCTACATACGACACGTGTATGGTGACGTGGAAATTGCCTTCGCTGTCTCTCTCTTTCTCTCTCCTCCTCGTTCTTTTTCACCACCCCTTTCTTTAGCTGTCTCTCTCTCTCAAAGCAAAGCTCTTTCCCTCGTTTTTTTAGAGAGAGAAAGTAGAGAGAAGTTGCGTAATTGCTTTACGAAACCTTAATTTGAGGATAGTTCGAAGCTACGAGGATTGGTTATCGTTGTTCCTTTTTTTTATTCGTGACGACTAGAGTTTGGGTATATTTTTCAGGTACGTGGAATTTCGGTGCTTTGTAGTTTGGAATTTGGAGTTAACCGCAGAAAGATTTGATTTTGAATTTATGGAACTTTGCAGTTTTATGATTAAGGGAAAACCGTGGAAGAAATTATCTGGTTCAGTTTGAATTTTTGGTTTGTGGAAACACCGAAAACCGAAGCTTAGCGTAAATTTGTGTTATGTTTTTTTTTTTAGCATAATCTTTGCATATAGCTAACCAAACAAGGGGATCTCGTGTTTTATGTGCTAACATCTTCAAACTTGTATGCTATCTGTGTTTTGATTCCACTTTTTTTATGTTTATTTGGTAATTTTTTTAAAATTTAGTTTTCCTATATCTAATATAGCTATCTTCAAACTTGTATGCTATCAGGATTAGAAACTGTAAATTATAACTATGGAGGTTCAGGTAGCAAATTCAGAAGTTTCATTAGTCAATGACTCACCATGAGAAAAATGGAAAAAAAAAGTGTTTTTGATTTGAAGGGCTTTTCTGTCATTTAGTTTCCGGATTGTCCTGTTTGGTTTGGTTTGATTATGTTATACTCAATTTGTGTCCATCGCTTTCTATGCTACTTGTGGGGTAGTAAATAGACATAATTGACCCTCTACCATTCTGTCGTTGACTGTAATATTAAGTCTTTGATTTCGGTTTGTTTGTGGTCCTTGGCTAGAAAACTGTAATAGTTGTATGATGCTATCTTTATAGTAGTTTACAAAGTCATAGTGTCAAACAGAAGAAGTTATTTTGTAATATATGTTGTCTGTTCCTGTGTAGTCATTAACTGAGTAAAACCGAATTTCTCCTAGCTATTATACTATTGCTAGAAGCCTACAACCTCTCTCACACCTTCAATGTAATTATTTTGTAATATATGTTGTCGTTTTCTTTATGAAACAATAATTAGAAATGTTGGAATTGTTCTTCCTTTATTTTTTTTCCTTTGTTTTTCTTGCCTTTATAACCTGTTTACAGTTTTTGAGTATAAGATTATGCTGTGCCGGTATAACGAGTAGGTTCTGAAGTGCATGAACCTTGGTTTATGAATTTTGACTTCTCTTCCTGGACTTGTCTTCCTTGCATCGTTTTCTCGCTGTAATAACTTACATTGCACCTTTTAATGCAGTTGAGTAATTTCTCAGGAAGTATTCCACTCAGTGCTTACCTCATGGGAAATAGTGAGGAAGGGAAATCCATTAAGAATGAAAAGCCTTCTTCACCTGTTATAACTGTAAGAAGCTGAGAAAGTGTATGTATGTGTGTGGAAACATTTTATAAAGGCTATGCCTAAATATTGTTCTTGTTACCATATTGACAGGATCAGACCAACCTGCCAAATGTTCATGTCTATCCTGATTGGGCCGCCATGCAGGTTACCTATTTTTTTCCTTCATTTCCTTTGTACCTTATAATTGAAGTTTTCATTGTAATTAAGTGTTTATCTAAATTCACTTTCAAGTAAAAAAACTGTACTCAAACTTTAGTTTTATTTTTATCCCAAAAAAAAAAAAAGACTGTAGTAGTTTAAGCTGCTACTTCTCTTAGTCAGTCACCATTAATGACTAGGTTAAATCTATCCGTTACAAATCACCAACTTTATTGGATTTCTACTAGCTACTTTACTCTTTTTTAAGACTTTTATAAGCTAAGTCTTGATATTTACAAATCAGAGAAACATTATCCTCATCATCTCCGTTTATTTCATGCTTCGAAGTCAGTAACCTGGTTTTACCTACTCCTGGGAAGACATTAGCTACCTTTTATTTGAAAAATATTGTCTACGTATTTTCATTTTTACCTATTCTTGAACAAATGATCTGATGAAAGCTGTTTATTTTGTTCCATTTTGCAAATTGTCAACCATTTTCACTGTAGAATAGAAGTATTAGGTATAGTATTATTCCAGGTTGCGTTGTATTATCTTTTATTTTGTGAGTTGCTATATAATATCAATATTTATTAACTGATTAATATCATGTTGTAATTCTGCATCACGTTGCTAATGGTTTTCATGATTGGTTGGGTTATGAATATCTATGATGGAATTTACATTGGCCCTAAATGCTTTTTCTTTTGAAAATAATTGCCCACTAAAAACTGCTTTTGGTGACTTAAAAAGTGTCTACTATATCTTCAGGCATATTATGGGTCAAGAGTCAACATTCCACCATACTACAACTCAGCTCTGGCTTCGGGTCATGCTCCTCACCCATACATGTGGGGGCCACCACAGGTAATAGCCCAATGAATCATTTATTTTCTTTTACGAATACCATTGTGTGTGTTTTTTTGTTGTTGCATGTTTTGCCTAGATGGCAGGGATGAATAATTTGCTAAATTATCATTTCTTCCAGCCTATGATGCCACCTTATGGGCCGCCTTATGCAGCATTTTATTCACATGGAGGGGTTTATACTCACCCTGCAGTTGCTATTGTAAGTCTACATTCTTCCAATTTGATTTTGTGGTCCTCGACCCACAACAGATAGAGGAGTTTTTCAATAAGAATTTGGTTGAGGGATAGGACAAATTGAATCCATTTATCAAATATTTCATCAATTTCTACCATACTATCTATTATTGTAGTGTATAAGGGTTTTCTCAGTAGAAATAACGGTTTAACATTGAACAATCTACCTGAAATAATCAAAAAGCAACTCTTATTCTTCCAATTTCATTTTTGATATTTCATATTTTTTTTCTTTCACAATCATAATATCATATAAAAAAAATAATCATATTACACACACACACACACGGGTGTATCTCAGCGGTTATTAACCTTTCTTTAATCTCCTTAATGTAACGTACCTTTGTGATTGAAAATTTTCCCATGTACTCATGAATTATATTGGTAAAATTTAGGGGCCACATTCACATGGTCAAGGAGTTCCATCTTCACCTGCTGTAAGTTTTGATTATCTCTGAGATCACTTCCTAGGTCCTACTCTTCTGATTCCCTGTATGCTATCTATTGTGATGGGTTTGACTTGTTGAAACGATGCAGGCTGGGACTCCTTCAAGCATAGAGACACCAACCAAATTATCTGGAAATACTGATCAGGGTTTAGTGAAGAAATTGAAAGGGATTGACGGGCTTGCTATGTCAATAGGCAATTGCAATGCTGAGAGTGCTGAGCGTGGAGCTGAAAACAGGCTGTCACAGAGGTTTGTTGATCTGTTTTCTTTCTGTGTGATTATTATCTGAATAAACTCTACTTCCTCTCCCTCCATGTAGAAGATTGGTCCATGAATTGCTTAATCTATTTGGTTCATGTGGATAACTGTATAATTTTATGATATAAGCAGTGTGGATACTGAAGGTTCCAGCGATGGAAGTGATGGCAATACTGCAAGGGTAAGAACTTTCTTGCTATTAACTTTTTTCTTGACCATGTGCACAAATTGGCTATTTTATTTGTAATGGTCTGACAATTGAATCATTAAACTATGTTATTTGCCAATTTTATGCTTAGGCTAATCAAACAAGAAGAAAAAGAAGAAGTGAGAGAACCCCAACCACTGGTATGACTCTGTTATTCACTGCCACCTCTTGATGAACAATAGAGTTGTCCTGGATCACAATTATACTTCTAGTGTCATAACTGTACACATGGTGATATTATCCTATTGTGTATGCACAGTTAGGTGAAATTACCTACGTTATTAACTTTCTAATTAGTTTGACAAATGTGATACTAAGATGGGCTTTTACCTGGTTTTCAGACTTTATAATATCATGTTTTTGGTGTCCTATTTATGCAATTATTAATAAAATGTCATACTTACGTGCAGAATGTAATATTTATCCACAAGTATCTTAACTCTTTAAGGTATTAATTTTAGGAGCTAGGTTGTTAATATAATATGTGTTGATGGTTATAAATTTCCCAACTTTACACGCAGATGGAGAAGGGAAAACTGAGATACAAGATAGTCTGGTTTTGAAAGAGACTACAACTTCCAAAAAGATGATGCCAGTTACCCTAGCCAGTGTTGCTGGAAAAGTAGTTGAATCTGTAGTTTCTTCAGGAATGACCACGTCACTGGAGCTGAGGAACCCTTTGACTGTTCATTCTAAGACAAGTTCCTCAAGTGGCACACAACCTAGTGGAGTTTTGCCTTCTGAAGTTTGGTTACAGGTATGGTCGGATTATAGTTCATCCTAATGGTTCAGATCATATGCAGTACCATAGAGATGCTTGGGAATCATATTTTAATAATGCTGCAGTATCCTCATCACTAAGTAATTCATGTGGGTATTTTTGAATTCCTTAGACTGAGCGTGAACAGAAACGTGAGAGGAGGAAACAATCAAACCGCGAATCTGCTAGAAGGTCCAGGCTGAGGAAGCAGGTATAAATTATTGCGATTTTGTTTCATAGACTTGTAAACCTTCTGTTGTTTCTTTAGTTGTCTGATAAAAGGCATAAACTGATTAGTGTCTTTACTATCACCAGCTTTTCCATTTATTGCATGTACTTTAGTGCTGAAAAAAAATACAAAATAAAAATAAAGAAAAATGAAAAAATTATTCTGGTAAAGAGAAAAGCTCATGAGTAATGCTCATATTTCCTCTGTTCAGGCTGAGACTGAAGAATTGGCACGAAAAGTTGATTCCTTGGCTGCTGAATATACGTCGCTGAAATCAGAAATAAATCAATTAACTGAAAGTTCTGAGAAGCTGAGGATGGAAAATGCTACATTAAGGGTACTATTACCATCCTATTCCTCTATACTTTTGCATTTCGTATGTATTCTGTGATACTGAGTACTTAATTGATTTTGACTCAGGAAAAACTGGAAAATACTCAACTGGGACAAATGGAAGAGATAATCTTGAACAGTATTGACAGCAAGAGGGCTACACCTGTAAGTACAGAAAACTTGCTATCAAGAGTTAATAATTCCAGTTCTAATGATAGAACCGCAGAGGATAATGATTTCTGTGAGAAAAAACCAAATTCTGGTGCAAAGCTGCATCAACTATTGGATACAAATCCTAGAGCTGATGCTGTGGCAGCTGGTTGAAACCAGTGATTGCACTGGCTGATTGTGTAGTTTTGGCATATTACAAGCCCAAAATTACTGCTAAGTGCTAACAGTTTTCAGAGGGATGGATCAGCTGAATTTTAGGTCTAAATCCATCAAGACCAGAACTAATTCTCTGCTTTTCAGTTTGTTTAGACATAAAATGTATCTTCTATTAGATTTGAGAGAAATGTTTGAAAACTTTAAGGTTTGTAAAATTGAAGAGGATTAGATATTTAGTTTATACATTAGAGGGTTGTCGAACCATTTATATAATTGGTTATGTATTAATGATTGCTGTGAACCTTCTAATGATATCTGAGTAAAGTTATTCTGACTTTTTGTTAGTTTGGTTTGTATACTTGTGCAAGCATGCTTACCTTTCAATGTGCCTTTTATCACTGCACTTTTAGGTGATGATTTCCTATTACATTTTATTACGTTCGTTGAATGATTGGGAAAAGCCTTCGGGGAACGTTCTAAGTTTCTAATATCATCATGTTTGGTGGCCTTCTTATTTGGAAGGGCCTTTTCAATTCCATTTAACGTTTTCTTGTTCATTTCCTTTTAATTAATCTTTTTTTGGATAGTGTTAATAAAAATCACTTAAGAGATTTATATTGACAAAAAGGATAACTTTTTTTTTTTTTTAAATAGTATTAAAATTGTATCATAATATTAAGATACTTTTGTTACTACACACAAATAAAATTAGGAAAAATGTTTCTGCAGTTACTGCAGATAAGTTATCTGCATTTATTTTCAAAACGATGTCATTTTGGTAGTGAAATCTTAAAAAATTATAAATATAAAAACTATTATAACTCTGAAATAAATTAAAATTATAAAAACACTATGATTTTCGACCAAAACGACATCGTATTGGGCTTACTGCAGATAACTTATCTGCATTAACGGGAAACTCAATAAAATTTAACTTACAATAAGAGTAACAAAATCTTGCATTATTGCTTTTATTTTTTCTCAACAATGATAGTGTTTGAGAATCCAAAATCCCATTTTACTCATGAATTTTGGGTTGAAACGTAGAGCATAACGTGTGTAGTACAATTGATGCAAGATCAAAGTTTGGGTCTAACCTCCTAAATGTCGAGGCAGCGTTTTCTTGCTTTTGCGGTGAGTTAAATTCTACTTACGTATAACAAAAAAAAATCTACTTAGGGAAAAAAATATAAATGGTTATCTACTTACGTATTAACTGTAAAAAATATCCTCTAGTTCGATGTTATATTACAATTATAATAATACTTAAATAAGAAAAGTCATGTCCTTTTTTTGTAATTATACATAGGAAAAAACATCTATCCTTTTAAAGGATATAAGTTTATATCCTTTTTTATTCTAACCGTTGATTTCCGTCCATCAACGGTTATAATTTATTGGGCCAAAATTAATGGGCCAAATTTATTAATTAATTAATTAATAATTTTAATCTAATAAATTATAACCGTTGATGGACGAAAATCAACGGTTATGATCTAAAAAGATATAAGTTTATATCCTTTAAAAGGATAAATGTTATTCCCTTATACATTTAAAAGTAATGTTCATTAACACTATAAAAAAAGAGAAAAGTGTATGTCATTTTAAATGACAGAAAATTATGTCATTTTAAGAGAGATACAGACACAAAATTTGAATTTTAAATTAAAAAAACCACCCATTTTCTCTCTCCCAAGATCTCTGTTTTTCTGTGTCTATCTCTCTCTTAAAATGACATAACTTATGTCATTTAAAATGACAAATACCAAACTCATAAAAAAATATTTATGATGTTAAATTACTTTCCAAATAAACAATTAATCCAAATCCACTTTTAACCAAAATCAATCTTGTAAACTATTCCAAACTAACACTAAGATTTGTTTTGATTTTCCTGATTGAATGTTCTCTTTTTTCTTTTCTTTTTTTGAAAAAGTTTAGGTAGAGGGAAAGCTATGTCATTCAAATGCGTTGGGGGCATGCCAAATGTATCAATGAAGGCTTTTGAACTCAAGGGGGAACCAAAAAAAAAAAGACCAACCTTCTGGGTTTCAATTTCATCGTAATAACACTAAATTATCACAAAATGATCATAAAGATAAAAGTTGAAGAAAAATTATTATAAAAAGGGCGATTTTAAGGTGACGTGGTTAATTAAGGTTATGAGAAACTAAACAAAAATCTTGAAACTGATCCAAAAAAAAAAACTGAGTGTTTACATAGTTCTGGACGATACACAGATACATAGTACACTCAATAAGCTTTCCTCAACTTAGACAGAGATGAACAATGAACAAAAGATGAAAATTGCTTGGTTCTCAAAAACCAGAATATCAAATCTCGTTAAGCAAGTTCTCCAGTTGACATCTTGCATCCAGATTGCAAGGAAAATTTCATCGCATATTGCCCTGTCGCAAGACATCAATCATATTGTATATTCTCTTGTGATCCTTTGTTTCAATCTGCATACATAAAATAAAATCACAATCAAAGATTGTATACAGTTAATTGTTAAAATGGTATATTTCATTATAAACAACAGCATAGTATAGTAGAATTCCATATATTGAAAATATTATAATTATCAGAAACTTATAAAGCTTTCCTATCAAAGTAATAGTGTTGTGGTATGATATATTTTGTTTGGGTTAAGACTTGTCGTATGTTCTTAGTAATGCATTACTTGTTGAGACTAATTTTTTTTAAAATGAAGACCATTAATAATCAGAGACTAATATGCATAATCTGATGACAAGAAGTAAATTAAATGGAAGTATAAGCACCTGCTTAGCAAGAAAAATTACAGCATCAACAGTGCCCTCTGCATATATTGATCTACCACAAACATTATGTTGAAACTCAAATGAAACTCTGCAACAATTTTTGAATGCAACAGAACATAAGAAAGATAAATAGTTAGTGACAAGGAGAAATATGTCACAACAGATAAAAGAAAATCAGAATGAAATGAAAATGTTAATTATTACGTGTCATCTGGTGATGTCAAATGATACATATGAAACGCATGACCCAATAAATGCTCCTCTGGGACTCCCACCATTTCAAGTTGTTCCTTGGGATCCCTGATCAATTGTATCTAATGAAATTCATTGGAAGAAAGGAAAGAAAAAAATCCAGTAAGAATTCATAGATCTTTTAATACAAATACCACAATAGTGCTATCTGTATGAAAACCAGAATGGCAACTTGGTGGTAATTTTTCTTTCAGTGCAGATTGTGATCCAACGTGAAGTTATGCATGTTACCTTAATATCAACAACACTTAAGAATCAATAGGACAACCTAACGATTAAAATTCACTGATAACTGGCTTGTGATTAGAAACCAGGAAAACCTCAATGTGAACTACAACTGATACTAAGATATAAGTTTGTCGTTTATAAAAAAAAAGAAAAAAGATATAAGTTTGTCTAAATTCAGACCAAAAACACACCCACACAAGGTTCAGCAATCGAGAGAATACGGCTCTATACCACAATGAATCATGCAATGTGAACTAACACACCTGATCCATGTTGAAAGACACCCCAAGTTTGTTGAAGCAAGAAATTACAGCCTTCGCAGTCCCAGATGCATCAGCTTTGCTGGCTTGATGAGACTCCAATACCTACGATCTTGGAAGAATGCATCAGAAGCCTAATTAAAAGAAGAGAAACACTCAAATTAAGAGTTTATGAAACATAAGGTATGGTATACTACTCGGTGTTCAGATATAAATCTTTCGTACTTTTGGCTTAGCAATAAGTACGATAGTAAATTCAGCGTAACTGCAACTTCCCCTTTTTCCAATTACAAGCAGCAGGATAGTATTCCCCAGAACTAGCATTACCAGTACCATTAAAGTAATAAGAAATTTAAGCAATTGATTTACTTGCACTGCTATCCGTTCAAGTTTCAAACAACTGAAAACTGTTGACATTTTTTCATACAATCTATCTATTTGAGTAAAATACTCTTGGTGATTTAAGTCAGTTATAGTTTCAGTAGGAAGAGGATAGAAAGTATTGATCATGGGGGAAAAGGATGGTGCAGTTTACAGCTCCGCTCACCCCACCAAAAAAATACTTTTGTTACTTTCACATTAGACTAAACAGAGGCAATTCAAGAGGTGTACTAGGGTAACTAAGTTCCTAAAAAAAAACCTCCCCAATATGTCAATGTGGCAAAAGAGTTACCTGTAAGGAATACCCAGAGAAGGCTCCAGGAAATTGCTCTGCCATAATTTCCATGGCCGCAAGAAAAGCAACAACCTAATGGGAAAAAGTACAGCAACATAAAGATGAGAAATTGCAGGAGTGTAATAGACATCAAAAAAATTGAAAATTGATCAAGGTTCTCTGGAATTAACTTATATACCTGCTTTCCCATTTGCGGGGATATTACAGCATAAATCTTTGAGTCTTCAACAGTCTTATACAATAGGTCCCTATCTCCACCGGTGGTTCCCATCACGAAGGGCACCCCGACCTTACAGTATAACTCTGCATTGCCTGCATATGATAATGAATTCATAAATAACACCAATGCTACTAGAGTCTTCCTAAACTACTCCTAATCCTAGAACATAAAATCCAAAGTCCAAATGAAAGTCAGGACACAGATCTGGTCAATGAGAAGGCCAAGTACAACCCACATATTCTATGCTGTCAAATACAGTATCCTCAATTCCTATGTTTAAAATGTAGAGTTGTGTACCAAAAAAAAGTAAACTTTTTGATTTTAAGATAAATCACGACTAAGGCATGAAAGATATATGACTATGTAACGTGTTTCATGCAAACATACTTTTTGCCTTTCCTTTGCCACATGTGAGATTTCATAATATACATTATATATAAGATGGAAAAGGAATTAAAGATTAAGTTTTGGCTTCTCTCCAATCATGAGAAAATATGGTTTAAAATAAATACCATTGACTGCAGTTGGAACTGTGTAGTCCACGACAATCAAATTCGGATATTTATCAAGGACAGTTAGAAGAACACTCTCCCTGTCAGAAGGACCATCCACAAGAAACTCCTTTCCACAGACCTGAAAAGTCTTTCCAGACTCCTCTTCACACCCAAATGATACGGGAACAACATGCAATCCAGCAGCTTCTGCTGCATTAATGACAGCCTTTCCCATTTTTCCAGTACATGCATTAACCTGAATAGAACAACTCAATAAAGTTTAAGGCATATAAGCATATTGCACTGTGTTTTACAGCTAGTGTTTTAAATAAAGACAGTGAAACAAGTACAACATGAATAATCAGAAATATTAATAGTAATGACTCAAATTTTATAAAAGTGTGACTGTTGAGTATAATCAAACCACAAGGTATGGCTTTGTTGGCAAACTGAGTTCCATATGACCGGACTTTACCTACAGTCTAGGAGCCATTTAAAACACCCTGGGACTAAAGCCAAGCCAACGCCCAAACAAGAATTAGTTCCACAACAATAGGATCGCAAACCGCTCTTGGTCTTAAAACACAAAACGAGAGAGAGAGAGGATATTCATGCTCAAATGAAAAAGCTTTGAACTCGGGGTTGAAATGTTCAAGCTGGCACCAGAAGAAAAGATTATAAAGTGGAGAAAAACTGAAAGGAAGAATGACGCAAGTAGAAGTAATCGGTAATTATGTGTTAAAACAGATAAAAGTACAGCATGTTACAAAAGATAGAAGTGAATAAACAGAGAATATTTATATGGTGAATCTAGTTTAGAATCAAATAAGATTAAAACAACCCCTAATTTTTGGGATTAACCTTCTACTTTTTATTGTAATTCATAAAATTATCAACCATGGCTTATAAGCTGTGCTCTTACTACAAAATCGAACCTAAAACATTAAGTCCTATCATTGACTTACTGACCAACTGTTACTAAAAATGGAAGAGATTGACACAATAACATGATACAGTAACTAGGGAAACTAGATCACATCTTGGGAATTATAAGCATGAGTCCAACTTAACCTCATTTAAGATGCAAAAAAGTTTCTCCCTCACAAGTTGGACATAAGAACAGAGTTCATGAAGCAATGCAAAATGAAATACCAGTAATTTAACAAGATGGGTTACCAAAAAATAAACTTGGGCATTCAAACATGGAGCCAAAAGCTAGAAAAAAGAAAAATTTCGTTTATGGCTAATCACCATTATTGGAAGGCCAGTGTTTTGAGGCGAAGGTGCTGACTTTTCAAGAAAAGTCTGAACCGGTGTGGCTGTCATTGACACTATGGGGAAGAAACGCGATCTCCTCTCATGCGAAATGGGGACACTGCTCCTTGCACTAGCGCCATTGGAGAAGAAGGCGAGGTGATTGTGCTTTCTGTGGAGCACATTGGTTGGTATTTCCAGCAGGGACGTTGCCATCAGAGACTGAGCTCAATTTGGGGTTTAGGGTTTTGTTTCGGTTAGGGTTACAGAGTTTTAGGGTTTTTGGCGCTGCTTTTCCTCCACCATTGTTGACGGAAAGGATTGATGACTGAACTTTTGGGCCTGCAATCTCGGGCTGGGCCCAACTCCTGAAATTTCATTCTTCTGGCTTGTACAGTGGGCTCAGCCCATTGTCCGTCGTAGATACTAGACTAGCCCAAATGAATTTTGTACACTCTAATCAAAACGGGAGTGGATCATCTCATGTGGAAAAGTGGTCATGTGGTCATGTTTTTTATCACAACCACTCATTCAAAAGTTATATACTTTTCTCTTTCTTATCTCATCATGAATGAATGGTTGTGATCAAAAAACATTACCACATGACCACTTTTTCACATTAGAGGATCCACTCTCAATCGAAACTATCACTAATCTTGAAAGGTCATTAGAAACAAAATCAAATGTCTCTTGTGTTATTCATATTGTATGAGACAAATTTATCTCCTTTATACACATAAATGTATGTGAGATTCATATTTTCTGTTTCTCTCTGTTTTCTTTTCACTGGTCTCATATACTTTTATACTAGTCTATGACCCGTGCCTTCGCACGGGATAGTGGTAAAGTAAAAATTATAAAATAGAACTAAATAAACAATAAAATTACATGTGCATTACATATTATAATGAAATAGCAAATTCTGTAAATTAATGTATAATAGTTTAGCAAATAAGACAAATTAACTTATTTCAACCTTTGGAAAGTTTCTTTGAACACAATGTTTGTTATAGTATTGGCAACTCTATCATGGTCGTCGAGTATGAGAAGCTTTGATCGCTTCTTGCTTTTGATCCTGGAAAGAGCAACATACAATTGACTATAAGTAAAAATTGGTCTAGGAAAATAAATTCTTACATGAGATAAAGTCTTATATTGACTCTTGTTTATTGTCATGGCAAAGCAAACTACCAACGAAAATTGCTCACGTTCAAATTTTGCTGGGAAGGTGTAATTAGAAGGACTAAAATTCATTCTTGGAATTAACACGGTCTCGCTTAAGCTATTGCCTAAAAGAATTTATCCTTCAACATGTTCACCAAGGGTATATACAATTGTTTTTTGGAGCGCAACTTGGAACGAAAATTTTCTGCTATTGCTGACTCATTTAGTTTTTGTTTCTCATTTAGTTTGCATTTCTCAATTAATTTCCGTCTTAAATATAGTTTTCTTTTTCATTTAGTTTCCATTAAGGGTATATATTATTATTTTATTTATTTATTTATTGTTACTGTTATTAACTGGTTAAGTGTGAAAAGAAATCTGGTTCATTAGGTCTAAAATAGATGTGTGACATATTTTTAGTCATTAGATGACTAATAATGCGTTGAAGAAATAAAAGAGGACGTTACATTAGGATACGTTTCAACATCCTTGAATTCTATGAATGAAGAACCATTGTTAGGAAGGTTGACATCGACACTGGGCGTCACAATAATTCTTAGATTAAAAGTAAACATGTACTCTTGTTGAGTTGACTTAAATTTTTCAAAATTAAGGTCAACACAAAAATTGTGTATAACATGCATTACATCTTCCGCCAGTTGATCTCTTATCCTCGGGGAACCCTGTACAGTCCCCTAAATCTTACCACCTTGTTATTACAAAAATGAGGACTCATAATGTTTAATAGTTGTAGATTTAAAAAAAAAAAAAACTAACATGCATGATAGAAATGCGTAACAAAATTCACACGTTCGTCTATTAAAATCATCCATTCATTGTCTCCCATCTCGGGTTAATAAAAGTTTGGTTGCCTCCAGAGTCTGATAACCCTAACTTTGATACTCCATTGCTCTTTAGATGGTGTCAGATCACAGATGAAATCAAATCTTGCAACCATTTCAACAGATATCGAAACACAAAATATGGCCAACGAACATATTGATGTATCCTATTTGACGAGTTAGGTGAGTCAGTTAGTTTGGCTTATGATATGGGTGTGACGCATTATATGTTTTTGTTTTTCATTTAATTTTCGATTGCATATTATTTATGTTTCTCATTTAGTTTACGTTGCTCATTTAACCTTTGTTTGAAATGTAGTTTCAGTTTTCATTTAGTTTGCGTTTTTTCATTTAGTTCTCACTTAGGGTATATACTATTATTTTTTTAAGTCCAACTTGGGACGAAAAACTTCTGCTATTGCTGACACATATAGTTTCTGTTTCTCAATGGCTTTTCGTTTGAAATATAGTTTTCATTTTAATTTAGTTTACGATTTTCATTTAGTTCCCATTGAGGATATATACAATTATTTTTTTGAGCCCAACTTGGGATCAAAATTTTTGCTATTGCCGACTTATTTAGTTTTCGTATCTAATTTAATTTCTGTTTCTCAATTAATTTACGTTTTTTCATGTAGTTTCCGTCTCATTTAGTTTGCGTTTTTCTATTAAATCCTCGAAAGGGTATATATTATTATTTTTTTGAGCCCAACTTGAGACAAAAAACTTCTGCTATTATATTACTAACTCATTCAGTTTTCGTTTCTCAAATATTTTTCGTTTGAGATATTACTTTTGTTTTTTTAGTTTATGTTTTCATTTAGTTCCCATTTAGTTTTATACTACTATTTTTTATTAATTTATTATTATTATTTTTATCCAATTATGTGAAAAGGAATCTGGTTCATGGGGCATAAAATAGAAAAAGAATCTGGTTCATGGGGTCTAAAGCAAGCACATGACATTTTTGTCCTCTAATGACTTATGTCTTCTAGTTATATATAGATAGATAGGTAGATAGAAATTGAAAGCTTATGCTATTTTTGACTTATTTAATTTTCATTTCTAATTTAGTTTATGTTTCTCAATTAATTTTCGTTTTTGATGTATCTTCCAATTTTGTTTTTATATTAAAAATCCATTAAGGGTATATACTATTATTTTTTTGAGCCCAACTTGGGACGGAAAACTTCTGTTATTGCTAACTCATTTAGTGTTTATTTCTCAATTATTTTTTTGTTTGAAATATTACTTTTGTTTTTATTTATTTTACAATTTTCATTTAGTTTCCAATAAGGGTATATATTATTATTATTTTATTAATTTACTGTTATTACTGTTATTAACCGGTTAAGTATGAAAATGAATCTGGTTCAAGGAGTCTAAAATAGACACATGTCATTTTTGTCCTCATTATTATTGTTATTAAGCGGTTAAGTGAGAAAAGAAATCTGCTTTATGGAATTTAAATGATATTTTTATACTCTAATAACTTCTATAGATATTTATCCTCATTATTATTTTGTTCATTGGGCACGATAAAAGGAAGGGTAAAAAAGTCACAAAAATTACGTTTAATTTTTCCAACAAACCGATACTTGGAATACCATCCTTTTGTTGTATTTTTAGATGGAATTTTAGTTAATCATTTGTACTACAGTCAAAACCCTGGGTAAATTGGATTTTTGGTAAAAAAATTTTGCATTTCTTGTACCAAATATGGATATATTAGAATCCCAACAACACTTTTTCAGAATTTTAAAAAAATCACACCTACCAAATAGCCTCTGTTTGTTTATAAGAGATAACTGTCATAAACGTGAGAAACATAAAAAAAAAAAAAAAAACCTCACTGCTAACATAGTTCTGGACGATACGCTGTGATAAATATTGTCAAACCTATAGCCCACTAGCCCAACACATCTCAAATAAACCTAAAACCCAAACTCTAATACCGTTTCGACCCTACCCGACCCATCCAAATCAACACCTCAATAAGAACCCTAATTTGCTCAAACTCGTTTTCATCACCTTCGAGGAAGAGGTCGAGCTTCGGCACAGAGCAATGGTAAGGATCTGTAATCTGTCGCTGTTCTATTCTTCTATCCTCTCCATATAATGTTTCGTCATTTCGTTTCTGGCAGAACTTTAATTTTGTTCTCTTGTTTGAGAAAAACTTGCATTCTTCAGATCTGTGTTTTATGAGATATTTTCGAGTCTGTAGGGTTTATAGAGTATATTCAGTTGTTTGTGTGTGTGTGTGTGTTAGTTTTGGACTACTGATGCACTCTGGATATTAATTCAACTAGGTTCGTGTGTGTTTGTAGCTATCCATATAAGCTTGAGAGATTAGCAATAACAACATTTTTTTTCCATTTTTTCTTTATGTTTAATACAGGCATTTATCAAGGCTCAGAAATCAAGGGCTTACTTCAAGAGATATCAAGTGAAATTTAAGAGAAGAAGAGGTATTATAGTTGTTTATCTCCTTTCATTTTGTGTTTCTTTATTATGCGCGCTTTATCTCTGCTTTGTTGATGACTTTGTTTACCTAAAAATTTGCAGAGGGAAAGACTGATTACCGAGCGAGGATTAGGTTAATCAATCAAGATAAGAACAAGTACAACACCCCAAAGTACCGCTTTGTTGTTCGTTTTGTATCCTACTGTTAGTCTGTAGTTTTATGTTTGTCTTACTGGCATTCAAAATTCTGGCCACATTACTATCAATTTTAGTTATTAATAGTCAATGCTGGTTAAGCATAGCATTTAAATATTATCATTTGAAAATTGAAGTTATATTATATGTTGATGTTTATCTGTGAGTACAAACCTTAACCTCATAATTAGACCAACAAGGATATCGTTGCACAAATAATATCTGCTAGCATTGCCGGTGATATTGTTCTTGCTGCTGCATATGCTCATGAACTGCCCCACTTTGGTCTTGAAATTGGCCTTACGAACTATGCTGCCGGTACTTTATGAGAAAATCCCTTATCCTCCTTTCATTTTCTTTCAACATTTTCGTGTGTCGATCCTTTCATCCTTTCTGTCTTGTTATTGAATATTTTAAAATCTGACCAGCTTATTGCACCGGACTCCTCTTGGCTCGTCGAGTCCTTAAAAAGCTTGAAATGGATGAGGAATATGAGGGGAATGTCGAGGTAACTATGAATTTGCTATACTCTAATCTCTCCGTATCTTTTTCTCATTCTGTGTAAGTTAATTGGTTGTATCCTTTTTTATTAGGCTACTGGAGAGGATTTCTCTGTGGAACCTGCTGATACTAGGAGGCCATTCC